ATTTGATCTCTATCAAATCTTATCGTAACTTCCTTCAAAACATACCTTTTTATAAGCATTTCGATTCGAGATTCATTCATTCAACGAATTTATTTTTTGCCTCCGAAGTTTTGATTCACAAATCAAATTGATCTCAAATATGAATATCAGCTGAAAAGATCAAATCGATTTCGAAATGTTATCAGTTTTTTCAAAGCATTTCAAAAATACCATCTTCCCAAACGATCACTTCACTGATGCTATTTTTCCCGATATCATCAACAGATATTCATTTGATACTTGAAATCTTTGATTATGATCATAATCTTTTCAATAAATTATTACGATATGATATTACATCATTCAACATTCCCTCAATTCCTCGTCTTTCCAGGATTTTTTCATCTATCCTGAATACTCGGATTCGGAATCTGCGAACAATATCAAGTCTTTCGTGTCACAACTCAAAACTGAACTCACTGAAGCGTGTAAGCTGTTTTTTGCCGCATCTCATTCTCCACACGGAAATTCATTAATGTCCACAAAAATTCTCGGGAAAATATCAGAAACTCCACTTGGAAATATGATTTTCCTTGGAAACTTTTGGAACTGAGAAAAATCGAAACTGTTCGGGAAAAAATGTGAAAACTTTTCAGTATCTAAGATGAAAGCGAATGATACGACTCTATCGGATACTGTATTGGCGGTGTTGAAACGAAACGCACTCAGCTCTGCAAATGTGCCAGCTGAATACGGTACGATCCGTACCGCTCACCTTGTTTCATTCATCTCTCTCATGCACAATTAAACAGACAGCAAAGCGATAGTGAAATAGTGACTACCGTAAGAAGCCCGGAGTGAGAAATTTGTACGAAAGATACAGTATTTCGCGATATTGATGGAATTTCCTATAATCCAGAAATTTTTCTGCATTTGTGGAAAAATTTTCGATTCTCCCGAAACCGTCCTCATTTCAGAAGGTATGGGAATGTGTAACAAGGATTTGTTATGCCTATCGGAGGTGCTTGGATTGGATTTCAACGTTTACATGCGATTACTGCAAATTCAACGCGCTGTCACCGTGATCACTTTGTATGGCAGTGAAGAGCAAAAACAAACGCTGTTACCGAAAATAGCGTCGGGTGCTCTGAAACCAGCAATATTATTGTTTGACGAGAATGGGTGAGTGGTTTGATTTGATTACTTTGTAATGTTGATCAATCGACAGTCATCGATTCTATGATTGAAATTGTTTGATTAATTTTTAAAGTTAATTACTCAACTTAATCGAGACCAGAATTAATGTTGATCAATCGACATTAGACAAAAATTTTAAAAAAATCGGCATTGATAATATTCGCGAGACTTCTGACAGTTATAATATTGAGAACATTATTGTTGAATTTTATTATTCATTGAAGGAATTTCGATTTCGAATCAATTCAAACTTCGGCGATCGCGTCTGGCGATGGAGTGGAGAAAATAAGCGGTACAAAAAGTTCAGTGATCGGCGTTGCAGATGCAAATCTTTTCTTAGTGTTCGCTATGAGGAAATCGAATCTTCAGGTGACTATTATCGTTATTTGTTGATGATCGATAACATTATCCATTTATTATTATTATCGTTACCCATAATAATTCGGTTTCTAATTGCAGCAAAAAGGGAATATGGCCTGTTATATAATAGAAAGAGAACATCTGCCTCAACAAAGTTGTCTAACGATAAACTCACGTATCAACACACTTGGTCTTAACGCTCTTCATGGTGATTGATCACTCTTCCATTAGAATCTCTCCATTTTCTCAGCCGTTCAGATCAATTTTTTGTGAAACTTCAATGAATTGTATACGTTCCAGTAAGTGATGTTGAACTAAAAGACGTCCCGGTGAACTCGTCAAGCCTACTCGGTTCCGTGAACGATTCTCGTGATATCGCTCTAGAACTATCCGCTTCGAATGGTTACACATACGGCGCGGCTGTTGTCGGTTTCCTGAAGTTATTAATCGGTAATTCGATTGATTTTATGTTCAGTCAAAATCTCATTCAACTTTCCCAGTGTTTGCCTTCATTAAGATATCAGTTCAACTCCACTTCATTAAATTTTAAAGTAATGAATTTCAGGTGAGTTATCACATTTCTGTAATACAACAATACAGTTCAAATCGCCATTGTCCGAGAATCTTGGCATACAGGTGAACATAGATATCTTTTCTAAAGTGTTTCGAAAATGAAATGTACTAAACTATCAGATTCTAAGTAATCTCATTCCTTGTTTACCTATCAAACGTGATAGTAATAACGGTTATTCAGTAAATGTGATTATAAAAAGTATCTCTGAATTAAGCGTTCAATGAC